CAAGATTCAGAATGAGAAGTCTCTAGTTTACAATCTGCTGTTTTCTCCTTCAGATCTTTGTTAAAGAGGGAACGCTGATGAAAGTCTCTGGTAAAAACAAGCACCCTCGGCATTTGTTCTTGGTAAGATTTCTTTTATATTTTTACTGCCTCTCTCATATTTTCTGCACTTACGCAGCCCTGAACCCTGACAGAAACTTTCAGGCTGCAAGTCATTTAACTGTCAGCAGTGATGTGGTGGCTGTAGCCCTCTTCACACGTTCCACTGGCCCTGTATACAGGAATACAGGCTGCACAGCCCTCATTTGTGCCACAGCTACATACAGCCTTGACTAGGCCGTAATTCGGTGAAGGAGTGCAAGTTCCCAAGGTGATCAGGAGGATGGGAGCTCCTGAATACTTCCAGCAATTAAGCTTCACACTTTAAAGTCCAACCCTAAGGCCTTAGAAGATCTGATTAGAAGCGACTGAGAACACCCTACTGCTAAAGTTTATGAAAGCTTTCTTTGGACTCACTTGGGAGACATATGTATCCTTGAAGCTCAAGGACGGGGTTTTAGTTCTGGCTGTCCACATATATGTAAATTACCTGATAACTGTGTGCATTGCCTTGGTATAGTCCCTCTGAACACACACCTCCAGCTTCCTGTTGATTAGACAGTTTTCAGTAATGGTTTGCAAAATTCTACTAAGATAGTTAAGAAAAAGGAACCTTTCATCAGTTGGCTGGAATGCTCTTCACAAGGATCCACAACCCTAGTGCAAAAATTGCAAGTATTTGAAATCAAAACAGATGAAAACCCACTGTTTTGGAGATAGCTGTTAACACTTATGCTTTCTGGTTTGCATTACACACTACATTGAGCAGTTAGACAGTATCTGAGACTCCAGGCATCTGAGCTCTGATCTCAATTTTTCAGTAGCTTATTGTGTAACCACGGGCATTTTTATGCATTAATCGGTATGAAGGGGAAAATAATACTTGCCTGTGTCTTAGGAGTTTGTTACCTGCTTACTGTTAACGTTTAATGAATTCTTCAGAGCTCCTTCCGAGAAAAAAGCCATAAAGAACTGAGTATTACTGCTGCTATTAACATTAAAGTACTGTTTGCAGAATTTATTTTAAAATAAATAGCTTATATGCCCATAATACATATTTGCTGTGGCCTCTGAAAGTGCGGACAAGTTTTCACTCTGGGACCATTGTGAGGAGAAGAGATGACTTATTACAGAAATTATACATTTTGCCACTAATTCTTCTTATTTCTCCATCTTACTAATATTTCCTATTTGTGCATGAGTGGATGCATAAGCTGCTTTGCCTCCTTGATCATGTATTGCAGTCATAATCAAAGATCAGCTGGGATGGGACACAGTGCTGGCACTGCACTTTTCTGATGGCTTCATTAGTTTCTGTGAAATTCAGACTTTCATGTACGGAAAGGAATAATGGATTTCACCCAAATCTTCAAATATGACATTGCTGCAGTGCTGTTTTACTGAGTTGGCATCAATGGACTGTAACAACAGCAATAAATGTCAAAGTCATGACATTGTTGCAGCCAAGGGAAAATGGCCATGCCAGAATCTCCAGGAATTGGTCTTAAGAAACAGTGTTCTCAGCAGTAGTAACTCTGAAGCCTACTAATGACCACTTCGTAACAGATGATACTTGCTTCCTTACTGATCTCTCTTCTGAAACATTCACCTTTGCTAGTATTACAATAAGATTTTGGAGTTGTGGCTAAAGCTGTGACCAAATTCCAAGAAGTTGTTAACATTTTGTCTTCAGGTTCATAACTGCTATCACAATCCACTACTATGGCAGATACTGAAGTGTCACAAACCTAGCTATTAGAACTGATACAAAGAATTTAAAAGGAAGATCAGAAATCAGGTTGGTAACAAACATTGAGAGGAAAGTAATTTAAACTTGGGATAAACTGAGATACATTTCAAGTAGTCCAAAATGGTTGTATCAGCTTGAAGGTCACAAGTGGCTGAAAGTATTACTGGAACAAAGAAAGCACAGAAATTAGTTTCTGGCACTTTCTAGTTTAGGAACTATTTTTGGTTCCTGGGGAGAGTTCAGCTGCTCAAACCCGGATGTTAACTGCAAAGACAGAAGTGTCTCTTGGCAGCTGGAGACATTACAGTAGCCAACGTCCTGTTGTTAATAGATGCTCTCAGTATTCGGAAACAGCATTTTTCTCTTCATTTAAGTCAGAAAGGCGAACTGTGACAAAACGTGCTGTCATGCAAAGTATGTGATGGAGCTAGACTAAGCCATAATGGTCACTTTCAAGAACCAAGACACATGAAACTGGCTTCTTTCCTGCTCTAACACACTAAAATTGAAACCTTTTCAGACTTTCTGTATTATGTCTCCCATTGGGGTCAGGCGGCGGGAGATTTGATCTTGGAAACAGTTTGAAACTTAGTGGCAAATACCTGCCTTTGGGTCCAGTGATTTCTTTACTCAGTCTTCTCTACCCTGAAAGCTCCTCAGGTTGCAGAGCAATGCCATGTATGGTGAAATTGCAGGAAAACGAGTCACTGTGGAATATGGTAATTCCTGCATTAACACCTGAATGGCTTTGCATTATCTGCTTCTCACTGCTAATGCTGTGGATTCTTTGTTGTGCCACCACCACTCATGCATTGCTTAATGGACTGTTTAGCCTGTGGATACATTAAGACAACTACTGCATAGCTACGGCAATGTATTTTCATCTTGGCGTACAGCATCTTTACTGCATCAGTCTTAAGGCCTTACCAACCATCACTGCCAACACCTTTCTGTAACAGCCAAGGCCTGCATGAACATATCCTTCCCTCTGCCAGTGCATCTAGCCCAACCCACGTGCTGTCTTGATTCTGATGCCTGCAGACACTGTGTGGGAAAAAACCCTCAAACCCACAAGACCCCAAGACTGTAACAATCTCCTGAATGCTCTCTTAAAACCCACATTTATTTAAAGCCCTTATCTTCTAAGGATATCATAATCCTTGGAAGCCACTGGCAAAACTTTGGTAGGATAAGAACTTGTCCTAACGTATTAATCAGAAAAACCCTTTCAGAACTGGCTTTTTTTTTTGATGTGTCACATGTCAGCTGCACTCAAAAAGATCGCTGGAAGCTAACATGTATAGGTGTCGTTTGGTTTAGCTTTGGATGAAATAAGTGTATGTACCTTAGCTACCCAAACCACATTTTTACATGAACAGCATTTTCTGAAGTTCTTAGTAGTGAACTTATTCTGACTGAAGCTAAGTCAAACCCAGGACCTGGAAAGAATTTCCGTGGAAGACTGTACACTGAAGGATAACACTGAGTATTTAACCCCTACACACCCCAGGAGATGAGCCCACCAAACTAAAGTTGTAGTTAGAGTATGCTATAAAAATTGGGTGCGTGCCAGACTCCTACTTGGCATTCGCATTCAGGGTGTGCTTTGGTGGTGTGCGTGCTTGTGCTGAATATATGCCCATAAGAAGCGTTGCATGTCTGCGCACAGCCCATACAGGCATGAGTGTGTGGGACACATTTAGGGGCTTTTGACGCATATATGTTTCTGCGGGTGTATGTTCTGTGTATCACAAAGTTACTTGAGCTGGCTGTTTTGTGCAGGCTGATGGTATTGTTGAATCTGGTGCTTCCTGGCAGGATGTTTGGTGAGTTTTGCTGTGCGCCTGTTTCCTGAGCCCAGTCTCTGTTTACAAGGATGTTGGGGCCTCTTTGCAGCTCAGTATGGGCTGCTGACACTGGCAGGCCCCCTAACTGCCCCCTAACCACAGGACTTTGCAACTCAGACACTGTCTCTTATCTCACCCTTCCAAGAATTTCTCTACAAAGGCTGCTTGTGTTGGAAGTGGGGTGCGGGAAGCTGGTATCAAATGGGAGACTGTTTAATGCTCTAGCTGGCAGCGCTGGAGTATAGGAGGTTTTGGAGTCAGAGCTTGGAAAATGTAGCCCCAGCACACATGCAAGCTGATCCACTGACAGCTCAGGGGATGTTTAACACAGACTTGAATAGAACAACACAGGGTTCATAATGAACTACCCTTTAAAACATTCAGAAAAACCAAACACGTGGTAGGAGCTTTTAGACAGAGTCCATTACGTATGGATGCCAGCAGTTCAGCAAGGCATAGATTGGATCAATAAATTTGGACACTGTAGGTTAGAAAACTTGCACTGACCTCTAACGTTACTAGGTTCCCATCACAACAGAGGGGATTATAAAAAGAAGGGGAGAGGGGCAGAAAAGTAGTAACAGAAAAAAAGAAAATTAAAGAGCAGACGTAGCCTTCTTTCTCTGTGTTATCAACTGTTGTTTTAGGGACTGTGTGTGTGCATGGAGCAATGCAGAATAGGAATATTCGCTCCCATATCAATATCTGAGCAGTTTGGGGATCCCAATTATTAAAAAGTTTTCTGGCAAACAGGAAGTGGGTCTGAACCCCAAGGACTTCTGGGAACTCCCCTGGGAGTTGTGGCAGTCAACCTCTTCTACCACAGGTTCCTGATGGGCTGAACGATCAGCTTTTGTCATGGCCCAGGTCCTCACTGCTTCAGTGAACAGCGTGCAGTGTGTAGCAGAAGGATACGAGAAACTACTGGTACTGACGTTAGTTCTGTCCATACCATTCATATAGCCACCACTCAGGTCTGCAGTGTAGATGTGGCAAAGGAGACAGCAGCGAGGGCAAACCCTTTCTTTCTTCATGAATATGTGTGCCTTGCTTAGCAAGCTTTGAAATATTTGTCATAATTTCATGGTGTCAAGCTGTGGCTGGTGGGACCTCAGAATCACAGCCCACCGCTATATTTTTCTCTGTGGGGCAGAGAAACAGAAGGAGGGAAGAAACTCCAATGGGCAGTTATAAAGCAAAGTTATCATTAATGTTTCATAATATCTTGGGATATTAACCAGAGCTGTCACGACAACAGTATGCGCCAGAGAGTCATCCGTAATCAACAGTAATAAAAGAATGAGCCGCTTTTTAAAGAAATAAGTAACTTTTAAATAAAATAAATGGGGTTTGTTGTTCAAGAAACCTGGTAGCAGATTATGCCGGAATCCTGAAAGTCCCTCTTAGTAGTTCATTTCCTTGGGCTTACTACCCATAACTAGTGACCTTTTCTTGTCGTCTGAAACAAACCTTAAGTACTGGCACTGATGAGTGGCACAGGAAGTCCTGTTCTCTCATATAGTCCTTTGAACATTCAGGAGAGCAGAATCACCAGGCAAATACAAGATTTCACTAGTATTCTCTTATTTCACAGAGCCTTCTCTGATGTTAGCAATAAAGTCTGCCTGCCTTTTTACCTTCTTCCCACCTGACTGCTGGAGTCCTCGTTGCTATTAGTAATATCAAGTGAAAATAGGTTTCATCTGCTTTTCACTGATAGGTTTACATTTGCTCAGTTTCTTCTACCTTAGCCTCCTAGATACTCAGTGTACAGTAGGTTGTGTTGAATTTTCTGGTTATGCTGGTTAAACTGGGAATGATCATGTGGTCAGTACCGTGCAGGTGTCACTGTGCTGACTGGATTAATGTTAGCACGGAAGTTAATTTATGGAGCAATAAGTAAACCACAGAAAAACTCTATGACAAGCCATTTGTTACCTTGTTCTAAGGAAATTCTATTGTATTGTTGCAAAAGAGTAAATAGTCCGCTTTAGACTACAGAGAAGAGAACATGAAGCTCCTATTCTGACTTGATAGTATGCTTTTATACCCTCAGTTGAGAAGTGTTACATTAAAAGAGCTTTAAACTCCTCATGAGTTAAGACTCACTAGAAGGACACAGAGAAATATACAGTAGAGTGGCCAGTGCAGGAGAGCATGGGAATCTTTTTCTTAAAATCATACAATCATAGAATAGTTTGGGCTGGAAGGGACCTCCAAAGGCCATCTAGTCCCACCCCACTGCCATGAGCAGGGACATCTTCAACTAGATCAGGCTGCTCAGAGCCCCATCCAGCCTGGCCTTGAGTGTTTCCAGGGATGGGGCATTGACCATCTCTCTGGGCAGCCTGTGCCGGTGTTTCACCACCCTCATCGTAAAAAATGTCTTCCTTATATCTAGCCTAAATCTGCCCTCTTTTAGTTTAAAACCATTACCCCTTGTCCTATCGCAGCAGGCCGTGCTAAAAAGATTGCGCTCACCTTTCTTGTAGGCCCCCTTCAGGTATTGGAAGGTCGCTATAAGGTCCCTCCGGAGCTCACTCTTCTCCAGGCTGAACAACCCCAACTCTCTCAGCCTGTCCTCATAGGAGAGGTGCTCCAGCCCCCGATCATTTTTGTGGTCCTCCTCTGGACCTGCTCCAACAGGTCCATGTCTTTCTTGTGTTGAGTGAAACGTTTCAGCATTTTCTACAAAAATATTGTCTGATCCTACTCAGTAAACTCAATTCAATTTTTAAAAGTAATAAAATTTGAAGTAAAAGTTTGGGGGAAAGTCACTTTTCAGTATATTTTGCCTCACATTAATGGGAATCTGCATTTTAAAAATGGGCATCTAATGCATATAAGCCTGATTTGTTGTGAATCAGACAGCTACTTAATGAACTGGTGTCCACAAGTGAACTCATGACCCTAATAAAGGCAACAACAGTCTTGCTATTAAGTCCAAGGCGATAAGGATTTAATCCCTTGAGTATTAATTCCATGTAACTTTTCTGCTCCATAAGAAAGCTGAACTATGACCTTTTAAGAAAACATCCATAAAGCTCCACTTTCTGTTTCTTTTCAGGAAAGTAAATTAGTGAAAATTTTACACCAGCAGTTTTAGGTGGTCAGGCAGTACTATCAAGACCCCAACAATTCCATACAGGATACATTATTTTATTGCCACATCATTCATTGGTTTCCTCCCTTCTTCTCAGCATCTCTCTTTATCACAGATTTCCTTCCAAAATACAAAATTATTACCATCCAATTGGCTATATTTAAATGTCTTTGTCACAGAGGAATCCAAGTGAAGCTGGTTTCTGTCTACTTTTTAATTTCCTGAGAGTTTCTGCATTTAAGATGCCTTGTCTCTGGCATCAGACAGTATTACCTATGCCTTGGTTTTTACACTGCCTTGCACATCTTTGTTCATAGTATCCCAGTACAGTAATCAAGGGGCTGACTGTTTATGCATATTGGTACTGATGTGAGAGACCTGGGAAAGACAACAAGAGAACATGACCTGCTCATTCAAGTAAAGCAGCGAATGCATACGCGCAGGCGTTACTTTGGCAATGTTAAGGCCCACCGATAGTGCTGTTCCTCTTAGTAGCAAAGGAAGGAGAGGCCAGCAAAGACCTAGAAGGTCCAGTTCTGCTGTTTTATTTATTTGTTTGTTGGCACAAAGGTGAAAAGCTGCAATAATGTCTATGATTAAGTTAGGCAAACAGCAGAGGAGATCTGATCCCATTTAATATGAAGTTGTTTGAAAAACATGCATTCTGCAAGGAGCTGTGAGAACTATGGAAATATTTGGGGTGTTAAGGTATAGACTTTTTTTTCCCTCATAAAATGAAAAAATGTTTCTCATTTTTGCCTTTCCACGGTCTCTGCTACAGCCCACAGTCTTGGTGAAGCTGTCAGATATCTAGGCAAGTTTTGCTAGCAGTAAAGCACGGTTACTGCTCTCAGAGATCCAAACCATTCCTCCTTGAATCATTCCTCCAGACCGTGGCACCTCTCCTCACCTCCACTTCCTTTCTGCACAGAAAATGGAAGTCAGTGAAGCCCGGCCCTACCCTTGGCCTCACTGCAGCTTCACTCTTAGAGGGACCCTGAGAGAGTCAGAGCTGCAGCATCCTGGGCAGTTAGATAGTATTGCCAGGTTGTAAATACAGAGCCTGCCTCCCCAACTTGAACATGGCATTGCCCTTAAAACAAGGAGCTGTTTCACCTAAGCTGAATAAAAGAGACCTGATTATCTTACTTGCTTAGCCATTAGCAACAGTCAAAAATGGGAGGAAATCAAAGTCCTGGATGCAGGCTCCCCAGAGTTTTGCGGAAATGCAGGGCTTGATGTAAGCTGTGTGTCTTGGGCCTGTCTTTAGTAACAGTCCTAGCAGTTCATCAAGTTACTGCTTGTTCTGGGTATCCCCCCAGGACTAATGGGCAGGCCTGCAAGCCATATTGCAAATTATTGATTTTGTCTTTCTCTTCATATAGATGAATGATGTTCTGCTGTACACATATCCCCAGAAGGATGGCAAATACCGACTGAAAAACACCTTGGCTCTGTCAGGCATGAAGGTAATGCCTCATCTGTATTATGGGCTGGAATTGAAGTTGTATAGTGGGCTGTTAGTTCTTTAGTGGTTTATGTCTCATACGCAGCAAGGGGAATGAGGCGATGAACCTGTTATCAGGGGATTCCCTTGCCTCTTACAGGAGACAGAAGTGAAAATAATATAAAGCAAACATATAGAAGATTATCTATAAGGCTGTGACTTAGTACGACAGCCTTACTCAGGCTGCATAAATAATAAAAGCCAAAATCAGATTTACCATCTGATCATGAAACTGGAGACAGAAAAGATTTATTATGCCATTTTCTCCATTCCTCTCTTCATGTTTTCAGCCAATGCGTGGCTGTCCCCTACAATATATTCACTAGGGCTTAGTCTGCCTGGTTTTAAACTCCTGCCACTCAAAATTTACATAAGCTTTAATTTGCCTGGTCTTTACATGCCCTTTAACTGTTTTAATCAAAAGCATTAATGGATTCAAAAAGCGATTAGCCAACTTAATGTGGAAAAGGTGTATTGTGAGCTATTACATGCAATGATATAAACACAGTCTCTTCCTCAGTAAATTTCTAAATTGCAGCTTACAGAAACTGGACACAATTGTCCTGTTTTTACACTCTCCCTAAGCACCCATTGTCACCAGCACCTGTGCAACAGGAGATACTGGGCTGGAGAGGTCTTTGCTTCTGACCTAGCCATCCATTACGTACCTCCCACCGAGAACCTTCACAACTGTTCTACAGCTAATATGCCAAGTTGTGTTTATGTGAAAGAGGACTTGAAGTGGCAAGTCAGGATTCTGGGGATCTAAGAAACATGCAAGATTTGAATTACTAACCATTAATTCCAGCAGAATGACATGCGTAGGTTGAGGTGTCATGAAAAGGTGGGAGGCTGATCACCCCAGAGACCTGATAGTCTAAAACTAACTATGGGCTCCCAGTGGGGGCAGGAATGACCAAAACACTCTACCATTAAGTGAAAAGGAGTAGCAGAGCAGGCACTTGTTTGGGTATATTTGAAATTCTGAGTCACTGCCATAATAGAAGCTTGTTAATAACAGCATATCAGTATCATGAGCCTGTGTTTCTCCTAAGCTGTTGCTTTTAGTAGGCAACTAATACACTACGTGATAGGGAAAAGGTTTTAGCTGAGCTGTAGCTCTTAAGTACTTTTTTTTCTCTTGAAGAGCCTTGCTGCACACTGGCATTCACTGAAGTGCTTCACTGTATGATGTCCGCATGTCAGGAAGAAATTTATTTCCATTCATTCCAAGAATAGACAGAAATTTTGCCCAAAATGTTCTTGTGGGACTAAACATCTCCTAAGCTTCTCATACTAAAACTGAACCCTGACTGATACTCTATCATTACCTTTATAGCTGGATTATTTTTTTTCCTTTAGCACCACCACCATATTGAAATTGAGAGCATTCCTCATTGCACCAGCAATACAAAAGATAGAAAAACACTACCCGCCCATCTCTTTGCATTGAAATATGAAGCACATGGCTGGGACATCATAGATCCATATGCATTGAGACTTGCATGCTGTAGTCCTTATAGACAGTTTAACTCATGTCCACATTCATGTTCATGGCATTTGTTTCTAGGTCAGCCGCCCAGTGACAGAAAAAGTCCAAAACGTTCTGAAGATTGAATATGATGAACATTGCCTGACCCTGTCAGCAAGGTACTGTCCCCAAATAGCCATGGCAGAGGGTGTTACATTCTAGAGCTGTATCTCTAGATTAGTCTAACCAATACCCAAGAATTAACTGGTGTCTCATTCTTTTTTAACTCAATTTCAGTCTGTGCTATTGTGACAGACAATGGCTGAGTGCTTGATTACACAATGAAGATATTCATTATAAATGCAAAGCTCATAAACTGTAACTAATTCAACTCATATACTGAGTAAAGATTAGAAGTTGGCTCTTGATAACATCTTAAAGAGAAAGGAAAAAGAAAGCCTGTTACTAAGAAGCGTAAGTCCTTTCCATTATCTTTCACACTTTTTCCCTGAGACACTAACAGTATGTTTTATCTCCTTTTATAAGTTCACTTGTTATCCCATACCACTAGGGTTGCAAAACTGCTGGAGAAAATAGTGATTAGGCAATACCAGACAACAGATATAAAAGCATTTAATATTGCTTAAATGACAAAGCCAAAATTAAACCTTACTGACAACCTCATGGGTCTTCCTCATAAAAGGAATTTCACTAATGAGTTTGTGTAGTCCAAGTACGGATTGCAACTGGGAGTCAGGATCTATGTCCTGGGATCACAAGGTAATGCCAGAAAGAAATTGTAGGTCAGTTTCTGATTAGAAGATAGCAGTGTACTGTATTTTTTTCATGCTTCTAGCCCAAACTTATCCTGCAAATTTACCCAGAGCTACATCAGAAAGGTGGCTGGCTTGATTTTCAGGTGTAGTTCACTACAAAGGACACACTATCAGTGCTATTAAAATCAAATCTTCCAAATAACAGGGTCTTCAATGCTTTTAAGTACTGACTTTCCTACCATCAGTCTCCAACTACAAAATGGCTGGAAACACAGCAGACTTCCCTAAATTACACAGTGCAATAGAAAGACAAGGAGGGCACTTTTTATTCAGAATCAGAACTTGGAGCTCTCATCCTTCCCAGAGTACTTGCCATCTGTGGACTGTGCTCAGATACCTGTCAAAGCCTTTTTGTCTATTTCCTTTTATAACCAGCAAATGAGAAAATACTTGAGACTCTTAGAGCTGCACACTCATCACAACCCTCAAAATACACACACAGTACTTCTGAATTACCTGCTGCCAGTTACAAAAGCAGGATGTGTACAGTTCTTCTGTACTGTAGGGGGGAAGTAACTGCTGCATGTCCCTTTTATTCAGGGAAACTGAAGTTGCCATCCCTAGTGAGAAGCTTGGGATGTTCTGCTTACATTGTTATGTTTTTTCTTTGCCTTTTGAACTTATATCAAGTCTGTGCTTAGCCTAAAAAAAGCATGTCAGGCCACTGCGAGCTGTGTTTCTTTAGTAGTAGATAGAACCAGGGCCTGAGACCTAGGTTGCCCTTCTGATAACTGCCAGACAGAGACTGACTCTTACCAGAGCACTGGGATAGAGCCCTTTTCCTTTGCTTGTGCTGCTCATTGCGGGACTGATCTGCCATAAGTCACCAAAGAAGACTTTTTCCTCTCCCTTCCTGTATCAGTTGGCAGAGCTGATGAGACACCGGTGGGACAGCATGCTCTCCTAACCCCACTGCCCCACAGCCCTGGCCTGCTACATGCACCAAACGAAAATTAACCAGGTGGCTTCAAGTGTCCTTAAAGACTGTATCTTTTACTGCTCACACTACGGAGCTACAGGTCTGCACTGAAGGCCAGTTGTTAACAATCACAACCCAAACCTCAATGCCTTGACACTTGTATGAGACAAGGTGAATGCACTGAGGAAATAAGACATGGGTGCCAGGGACTAAAGGCAGTAGAATGAAGGTGACCAAAGCTCAGAAGTCAGCATGGCTATATGAGCAGATGGCACTGTAAAGTCTTTACGATTCCTGCT